ACCCACATGTGGTGTATCTGTTACAGCAGCACTAGATAATTGAGACTCCTGGAAGTCACTGGAGTTTTGGGGAAAGGAGTAAATGATCCGGCTCTCACTTTCACAGGGTCTCGGTCTGGAACAGTTTAAAGGGGTGCATGGGCAGACAAATATATTAAAAGTACATTCCAACCATTGCAGCAAGAGATGATAGTGTTTTAGAGATAGTAAAAGGTGATTAGATAGGATATTTTTTAATGATAGAGCCAAAGATATTTGCTGAAAGACTGGATGTGGGGTATAGGAGAAAGAGGACAATTTCAAGGTTTTTGGTCAAGCAAATGGAATTGCCATTTTCTGACAGAAAGAACAATACATGTGATGAATCAGAGCTGGAATATCAGAAATCCAGTTTTGAACGTATCAAGTTTAAGTTTCCTATTAGACTCTAAGTAGAGATGTAAAGTAAGCAACTGGATACAGACAGGAGTCTGAGCTCAGAGAGCACTAAGCTAACGACACAAATTTGGGGTCTGTTAGAATATAGATGATATTCAAAACTATGAGTCTTCAATGCGATCACTAAACTGAATTATACAATTTGTCTCCTGATGTATTCAAAATAACTGGTTGATAATTCAGGAGATAAAAGGTATTCATATTTCATGAGTAAGAAAATAACTAGGACTCAAGAACAAACTTGATTTTATCAAAGTTTAAAGCTTAAAGGGGAGCCTGAATTAGAACCTAGCTCGCCACACATTAACACAAAGCTTTGCTCTCTGCAGATATGGTAATTTGTTTGATTTCAATTACCTAAAAAAGTAGACAATGCCCTAAAGTCTCTAAAAGGATGTCAAGAAAATATAACACATTACTTTTTTGGATGTGCTGTGAGTTCAGCTAAAATAAAACAAAAAATAACTTAGAAACTAGCATTTCAGATATTTTTCCAATAAAAAATTTTCTTGTAAAATTAAGAAACAGGTGGCTTAATGAAAAATTTCAACTAGTTTCCTATTATGGTCAGTCTACACTAAGGGCCACATAATGATCATGAAATGATTATTCATGTTTGTCATTACAAGTCCAACTATGTAAGATGATATTAACTAAGACCTACTAAGGAAAGGTCTTCCCAGCTCTTCCTGTGGTAGTTAAAAGTTACATATAGCCAACATGTGGTCCCAAGAAGCCCATGAATAGACTACTCAATCATAACATTTTCAGGCAAGAGGAAGTCTCGGAAATAACCAATCCTCTCACTTTAGAGATAAATTAACTAAAATTCACAAGAGAAGCTAAATGTTCTATCCAAAGGACTTGCCAGTCAGTGGCAGATACAACACCACTACCAGTTATTGGACTGTGTTCTATCACCAGTTAATCCTGAATTGTGTTAATAACCATTTTATTGAGAAACCTTTAAAAAATAGTCTATGATAACTTCTAAATTGAAGATGTAACATTAGCTAGATGGGAAAAAAAGGCAAATATACTTACTCTACTTTCATCTTATTTCTACTTTCCACCATGATCCATAACCAGTTCCCCATGACTATTTCCAATTTAGAAGATACTTATATGACTGTAACTATTATAATTCTAATAATATTGCTATCATTTACCAAATATCTAAAATGTGTTAAGCACTATTTTACTATTATCAGCGGTGACACTGCAGCAAGGCCACAGACTTTTATTAAGATAATCAAGGACTGTTACATAGAAACACATAAAATTTAAACTATCCTGGCATTGTTATATGTTGCTAGTAATATAACCAAGGAGCCCTCGTGGCACAGTGTCTAAGGCATTTGACTGCTAACCAGAAGATCGGCAGTTCAAATCCACCAGCCACCCCGTGGAAGCCAAGATGGGGCAACCTACTTCCGTGAAGATTTACCTCCTTGGAAATCCAATGAGGGTCACTGAGTCGGAATCAACTCAATGGCAGTGAGAATTTGGTGATATAACCTATTAGTAAGCAGTAAACCAGACGTAGAATTCTTGGGTGCCTTGGAAGAAAAGCCTGGAAATCTGCTTCCGAAAGGTCACAGCCTTGATTAAAAACTGTATGGAGCACAGTTCTACTCTACAAACACTGGGTTGCCATGAGTAGGAATCAACTCAACAGCACTGACAATAGCCCAGCTATATCAAAGGCTGTGAAACGTTTATACCCTTAGATCAGATAATGACCAAACTTTTTCATTTTCCTCCTGAACACATAAAAAGTCTATATTTCCCAGTCCCCTTTTAATCTAAAAAGAAGCTCTGGTGACATGGTGGATAAGGCATTTTGGCTGCTAACCAGAAGGTCAGCAGTTCAAACCCACCACCTGCTCCACAGAAAGAAGATGGGGTGATCTACTTCCATAAAGATTTACAGCCTCAGAAATCCAGTGGGGGTTGCCATGGGTCGGGATCAACTCAATGGCAGTGAATTTGGGTTTTTCTGTTTGTTTGTTTGTTTGTTTGAATCGAAAAAGGACAATGCAATTGATTTATAACCAGTGAACTGTGGTGACACTGATGTGGGCTCTCTGCTTAAGAAATCTCCCACAAGCAATCCTCTCTTGCCATGCCAGGCCACATGTATCTGAGTTATCATTTAGAGAATAGGTGCAAGACCTGCTACCTATTAAAGAACACTTACATTGGACTTAGCAATAAGAACTATATTATGTTAAGGCACTGAGATTTGGGATATCTGTTAATGTAACTAATGTTAATCATTCAGATTAATTTCATTTATCAAAATATGTAATAGAATGAAAAAAATTACATAGGGTGGGTAGCAGAATTTGGAGTCCTTTTTTTCATCATTAAAAAAAAAATTAATGCTATTTACTATAAGAGAGCTCTGGTAGCATAGTGTCTAAGGCATTTGACCGCTAACCAGAAGCCTGACGGTTCAAACTCACCTGCCACTCATCAGAAGGAAGGTTGGGCAATCTACTTCCATAGTGATACTACCTCAGAAATCCAAGTTGGGGTCGCTATGAGTCAGATCCGACTCAATGGCAGTGAGTTGTTATTGTTGTATAAGGGCGTTTCTACACACTTTATACAATTCTGCACTGACTAAATTTTTAATGAGCATATATCATTTTTTTGACACATAACTCATCCAAATGTTAGTACACATGCATATAAAATGTACAGCACATATAGGAATAATGCAACTGAATTATGATTTACTAATATGATTTAATCTTACTGATGAAGATTAAAGACTTCTGTCTGCAGTATGGATCACATCTCAAGAAAAGAAAATGAAAATTCTTGCAATTGGACCAATAAGCAGCATCACAATAAATGGAAAAAAACTGAAGTTGGTTTTGTATTACTTGGTTTCACAATCAACACAATGGAAGCAGCAGTCAAGACATCAGACAATGTACTGCACTGGGCAAATCTGCTGCAAAAGACCTCTTTAAAGTGCTGATAAGCAAAGATGTCTCCTTGAAGACTAAGGTGTGCCTAACCTAAGCCATGGTATTTTCAATTGCCTCATATGCATGTGAGAGCTGGACAAGGAATAAGGAAGACCGAAGAAGAGTGGATGCTTTTGAGTTGCGGTGTTGGCAAAGAATACTCAAAGTACCTTGGACTGCCAGAAGAACTAAAAAATCTACCCTGGAAGGAGTGCAGCTGGAATGTTCCTTGGAAGCAAGAATGGTCAGACTTCATCTTACTTACTTTAGTCATGTTGTCAGAAGGGACCATTCCGTGAAGAAGGATATCATGCTTGGTAAAGCAGAGGGTCAGCAAAAAAGGGGAAGGCCCTCAATGAGATGGACTGACAAAGTGGTTACAACGATGGCTCAGGTATAGCAAGGATCATGAGGCTGGCACAGGACCGGGCAGTGTTTCGTTCTGTTATACACGGGGTTGCTATGAGTCGGAGCCAACTCGACGGCACCTAACAACAACAGCAACATCCTATAGGAAACTAGCATGTGAGGTGGATACCTGGTTTGCAAAAAACATATGATACATGTGTTATTTGTGTAAAATACTGTACTGATACTGGAATTTTTTTTAGAAGTTATTAAATAACTAGTGCTTTAATAGAGTTTTTTTTAATAATTAAAATTGAAAAGGTAAAATGCTACTTGAATTTTTCACATTTGCCACAGGACAAAATTCAAATAAGTCTTCAGTCCCTCTTATTAAAAATAATGGCACTTTTGCTAATATAAATAGATCTTTAATCACATCTTACAAAGCGTTAGCACATTGTCTCAATTGAGCCTCATAAAAGTCTATCTTGCCTATTTCATTATCTCCATTTTAAAAACAGGAAAAGTAAGATTCAAAAGCCTTATCTTTGTCCAAAGTCACACAGCTGCAAGCAGTTGAGCTAGAACTAGAACCAAGTACTTTTAATCCTAATCCAAGGTTCCTGTCATTACACCATGCGTACACCTCTCTTGTTCCATCCTACATAAGCCAACTGATTATATCAGAGTACCTTTCATACAATATACATTCAAAAGACATTTGTGATTTTGAAACAAATATCTGGACTACTCTTAGAACTGTCACTTATAGTAGCACCTGCGGCACAATACATGAAAGTGAATTAGACGAAACCACACCACTGTTCTAAAAATGACTCCACATACACAAAAAATTACAGATTTGAGAAGATATAAACTACATCCCTAAAATACATCAATTACATCTGAATGAAAAGTAAAATTATACAGGTCAGTAGACTCTCATAATCTATTTTAAATCTTTGGTACTGTTATAAGAGATATTTATAGCTAAAATATATAAAGGAATAGTTAGCTTATCAATATAAGGCTCACTTACCGAAAAGAACACTTGATGAATCAAGATTCTTTAATATACATGACAACTGCTCATAAGACCTTTTCATACAGCATGACAACTGAGCTTTCCAATAAGTAATTAATTAATAAGAGGCACAGAGAATTGCTTGAGTTACAAAACAATAAAAATGAGATATAACAGTCTATGGGTACCAAGTTCACAGATTCCCTTACCTTTGTATGTCTTTTCTGTATTACACAAGTGAAGTGTGAAGTAGGTATCAAGGAGCTGATGGCCATTTCTATTGACAATGTTCCGGGCAGCAATGTTCCGAAGATGTCGAAGACGCCGCTAAAAAGTAACAATAAAAAGAGAGAAGTATTCAGCTTTTTCTTCCTATTAAATTTTCTTAAAGTCACAATTCAAAAATAAAATACAATAATTCATGCCAGTCATTCATTTGTTGAGCCAGTTATCTTAATCTAGTTTCTTATTTATACCTCGGCATCCCCTCTGTCAAACAGGGATTACACCTGCCCTATCTCACGTACAAGACTGTTGTGAGCAGATTTAAATATTTTTAAATGCATAAACGTTGTGTGAGTGTTATATACAAGCAGGATAGCATTAGCATTCCCTGGAACATAAACTAAGCAGTGATTAGCTTTTTTCCCCAGAAGCATGCTGGTAGAAATGTGAAGTGCATCTCGTACCAACAGAAAATCAGCAGTTATGACATAGAATCACCCCTGTTGCTAGCTCCATCTGGATACCAGATCATTTGTACAGGCAGGAAAAGAGACCAAACCAAAAAATAAAAGCAATTATACACTGGTCATACCATTCAACCAATAACTCAAATGTTGTGAGCTTAAATGAAATTTCACTTCAACAGTAGCCAATCAGTCTCTATTTCCTATTCAGGCCCCATCCCAACAATTTCTCTTGCTCAGAGAATTATCTGGAGTCACAAGTGTTAGAAACATAAAAAGTGCATAAGCAACAGTAGAAATGAACAAAAATATAAGCTAAATTCACTCACATCAAAAAGAGAAAAGACAGACAATGCATTAAGTCTTGTTGTTGTTGTT